GAAAATTAATCGAGCAAGAAGAAAATATATTAACAAAAGCATCGAACTAACATATAACTAAAATATAGTTAATGAATAAAATCTTAGGCTTAAAATAGGGCTATTGAAATGAATCAAATTCAATAACTACTTGAATCGACTTAAACAAAACAAAAACATGTGTCATAAATAAGGTTAAGGCGGGTAGATGACGAATAACATCTGTTTAAATACTTGACAACGCCTTAGCAACCAAACTGTCTGGTGTTCATCATGGCCTGACGCCTCCTAAACACGTCTATTACCTTCGCCAGATGCAGTGCTCAAGAAGAAAAATTTGTCGCAACAAAAAACGCGCTTTAAATATAATTTTATTTATGTCTATTGAGTCCCCATTACCCAAAAAGTTTCATTTTTACCCAACTTTGGGCAATTTACTCCTGTTCGCTGAATCCGGATCTAGCATATGTTCATTTTCTTCCTACAGACCACAATATGAGCTATTTTCCACTGACAATCTGTTATAAGCATGCATAATCTTGTTTTCTATCATGCCGCAGCATGTTCTGTCACAAAACAGATGTATTCGCTTCGTAGGCTAGGAAGCGTCACTTCCCGATTAATCTAACTCAATTGTTTGAGTGTGATTACCAGTTCCAATCGTGTTGGCTTGTTTTCCTCCGTGACTGATAATGATTATCATCTACTACGAAAATATATCCGCACTCACTTTAAAATTTATGAAATATGGGTACCATGAATTTCGGCAGTCACTCAGAGAAGTAAGGGAGATCTACATATCAACAGTTGGCGTCGTCTCTTTTTCAGTTTCACGGTTTAGCGAATAACTTATGGCAATGCACTGAACTGACGTGAAGATCCCGGCAGACTACAGTAGACTAGAACAGGTTACGATAGTCAGGACATCCTAATGATATTTAATTTTAATTTTAGTTCAAGGTCACAGCATATAACAGCGTTAATAAGGAACAACTTTCCAGCCATATTACTTCACATCAGACACATTTCCGCGTGGAAAATAAATTATTAAAATTTCTTGTCGTTACTGCAGTGTGGAGACCCCGTTAAAGAGGGCCTTGAAACTTAATGATACGAAACAGAGGACCTATCAGAGACCTACTAAAGGCCTTTTTTTACCACATGTGCATTCATATGATTTTTACGGCTACAACTGCGCTGAGCATGTTCCTCAAACATATCTGTGTGCAGTGAATGCTTTCGGTTAGGGCCTCAGTCAGCGACGATACGATATTTTTGAAGCAGATTTCTCTCGTAAGTTTTAATGACCTCATGTCGTGAAACAAAATAATGAAACAAACTAAGCTTGCAGCTTTTGGTTGTGGGTCTGTAGTTACATAAAGATCTGTTTGAATGATTCACAGTTCAGGGCACCAAACTCAGCAGATGATAAAAGATTTATTGCATTTATTGCCAACGCGTTTTGCCGCATAGACCGCAGCATCATCATGGCTGCGCTGGAAACAAATGGCTATTTGAAGACAATTATATCCAATAAGTGAACGTCGTCACTGTTTCCCAACGGGCACGCACTTAAAAACAAATCAGTTGTTAAACAGCCTGATGATAAAGTCAGCCAACGAACATAATGTGAAGTTCGCATTGAAATGAAATTGGATCCTCCATGTTAGCCCGAAATTGCGTATAATATTTGTCACTGATAACCATGAAGAAAGTGTATTCGCTGCACACTGGGAATTTCCTAGTAAGTATGTGTAAGAAGTCCTTCATCAACAGACAAACTTTAGAATGGTCTTAGTCAAAGATATACATTGATCTGACTGAAAGAGTTCCACTCGCAAATGACATGCACGGCAATAACAGAACGGTCAGCTTATCGAAGGCAGTCCTCAGGTGGATACATTGCGATACGGACGTTCATTTTCCGTTGTCTTTCCAATATACATCTTGCCGCAGTGTTCGCATTTGACTCTTTGTACGACTTTGACGCTTCTTCCAGGTTAATGGGTATGTACTTCTTGAATAAAATGCTGCAGAATATCTCACCGGCCTAAGAAGTAAACTTTGAACCTGTGTCATTA